CTATGCATGAAGCAGACAATATGATCGTTAACCCTTCCCGTGCGACTCTGGGCTAAGAACAGCAATTACTAAAACATGTTTTTTAATGTAAAGATCTTGGAGATACTAAAATTATAGTATCTGACAGCAACTTATTTTTTAACAGAATTCAAGAAAATAGAATTGAAGGTAATCCCCTGAGCAGCTAAACTGAATTCAAAGCTATCCTTAATCTTGAAAAAAAAACTAGTAGTGGATATAACATAATCGTCATTTTTTAAATGACACACAGTAGGTGATCCATATATAAAGTCATTATCACAACCAGAACTCTGTGACAATGTTCAGTTCCTGAGTGTATATCACAGAGTCTAATTAAACTACTGTTGAGGCAAAGTAAAGCAGCTGGTGTTTATACAGTACTCACTGACATGTCAACCCACAACAGATTGATGCATGATAGCCACTGTCTTATTTCATGTCCCAGATGACCCTATGAAGTTTGTACAGATGAGAAATGTGATTTAAAAGCCTGGATGGCTATTTTGTGGTCTCTGAAGTTGGTACACAATACACCTGGATTCACTATGATCTCTGCCATCCACATCATTTGGGACAGGACCCCCTCCCCCATCTAGTTTGAGAGAATATCCCTCAACAGTGGTTTGTTTCCTTTTTTTAAGATTTATTTATTTATGTATTATGTATGCCGTATTCTGCTACATGTATGCCTGCATGCCAGAAGAGGGCACCAGATCTCATGACAGATGGTTGTGAGCCAGCATGTGGTTACTGGGAATTGAACTCAGGACTTCTGGAAGAGCAGCAGCGCTCTTAATCTCTGAGCCATCCGTCCAGCCCTCAGAAGTGGTTTGAACAAGCACTGAACTCCAAGTTTGGGGAGATGCACTATAAATGCCTTGAACACTGGAGACTCTCAGAAATATGGTAGACAAGTAACTAAGCATAACTTGGTGACAGAAATTCAGCAGTTTTAGTAGCGCCCAGAGGAGGGAGCCCTTCAGGCTGGTGGGGATTTGTGTGGCTAGTGAAGGTTCCCTGTGCCAGTGACTGAACTGACCCTTGGAAGTTCTTACCCTTGACACTTCCTAATCTTGGCAGGAAAGTGTAAACAGGACACCAAGAACAAGGCAAGATCCTATCTCACAGGTTCCATAAGAAGACAATGCTGCCTCAGGAATTCCAGAAGGAGAATAATGTATTGTCTGGGAGCAAAGTCCTGGCAGCAGAGGAAAGCTGACAGAGAAGCCCAGCGGGCCATGAGATTCAAATCTACAGAAAATAATATGGGTGATCCTTTATGAGCGCCTACTATGTGATACAACGCACTAATCCTCACAACAGCATCATAGTGCAGTCATTGAAACTCCGAAAACTTAACAACTTGCTGAGGACCATGGGAGCCAGGTCATGTGATTCTGAAACCAGTACTTTGAGGCACAATTTACTCATTCAAAGCCATCAAAATCTCTAAGGTACCACTCCAGTGCTACTCTAACTTCCAATGGAAACTTCCTGAACAACACATATGGCTTTCAATTACTTGCAGACAAAATACATATTGTGGGAATGTGTCCCAAGGATTGGATGTGCAGAATAAAAGGGGGTTTGGTACCAGAGTTTCCCTAGAAACATAAGGGAGACGTTGAGGCAAGGGCTGGATAGGTGCAAAATGACTAAATGGGAACTATCCCCATAGTAGAGCGCAGGCATAGTTATCATGTGGGAAGCACTGTGTTCAGTTCTTAGTACTAAAAAAGGAAGAACTAGAAAGAGAAAATGAGGAAAACCCACAAGAGTCTGAATGATGAAGAAAAAGGGAGAGAGAGGTGCATGAAGAATCACTTCTTCATGTGTAAGCAACCACGGAGGCCGTGGGGAAGCCATGGGCTTGTGTGATCGATAACCTATAGATTACAGGTCATCTATTTCTATGAGACTCCGCAAATATGTGTGTACATAAAGAGTAAGCATGACCTCCAAGAGAGGTGAGGTAAAATAATAATTGTTATGTGTAAAAGTTTTCTTATTTATTTCATTTATTTGTTGGGTTGTGGGTATATTTCACACAGTTCATGTGTGGCAGTTGGAAGACAAGTTGCAAGAGCTGTGTCTTTCCTTTTACCATATGGGTCCTAGGAATCAAACTCAGGTCAGCAGACTTGGCATCAAATACTTTTACCCACTGTGCCATCTAGCTGGGTGATAATTGTGCCTTTTGTAATATGAAAGCTCAGGGATTTTCCAAACTTTCCCTGTGCATTCAGGGACTGAGGTCAAGGAACAAAACAACCTATTACATCGACTTCTTCATTTTCACTCAGTGTCAGGAGGAAGAAATAGTTTGAGCTGCTCTGTTTTGGGGATGTTTGTAATTCACAACCCAAGGAGTTCTTTGGCCTTGATGGGAACAGCAGAATGCATGGTGCTTACAGACAAACTGTGTAGATCAGAAAGTTTTGTCCTCAGCATAAGCCTGTGGAGTATATATTCTCATTTTAAAGGTAGCACAAAAGAGGGGTACAGCAAAATGACTCCAAGGAGGGCAAGGGGCAGATGCAGAGGAAGCTGAAGAGTTTGAACTCTCATAGTGTTGGAGCATGGATATGATTGGATGTCTACAGATGAGCATTGTTGGAAAGTGGATAAGACTGGATGTCCACAGATGAGCATTGTTGGAGAGTGAATACGATTGGATTTCTACAGATAAGTAAAACTACTGTACACTATAGCTTAAAGGTTCCCCAGGAATACGGTCTTCAAATACCCAATTGCTACAATTGAAGTGATCAGTAGTAATGTTCCAAAGGCCATTAGGGAAGGAGATATTGAATGACAGCATCCTTCATCTTTTTTCTTCTTCTGTGGGGGACAATCTCCTGGCTTGTATAGGTAACTCAGAGTTGTAGAAAGTGGGAGAGTTGCCTAAGGAAATTTCTTCTCTGTAACATTGTGCACACTAATTTTTTTCCTTCCATTCAGCCTCATAAAAAATGTAGGCTGTATATGAGCATCACTTTAAAAGTGGAGAAACTGAGGTTCTGAGCCTTCTCAGTTTGAGTCTATATAGCTAGTTCTTCCCTGACCAGGAGGGCAGGAATCTAGGATAGCTGGTTTGCAGAACAGTGCCATGATCTCTGCATACCACATTCCAGCTTTTATGGAGGGGACATCTGAGTCATCGCTCATCTTATAAATCTTTGTCCTTTCACCAGCCCGTCTCTCCAGTGGTTTTCTCCCTTCCTGCAAGAAGAGCCCTGAGCACAGGGGCACCATGGTAGAGCAAATCACAAATTGGTAGCATCAACTTCACTTCTACCTGTAATGGAATCTCTTTTAATCAGTGTATTATTTGGACAGACTGTCAAAGAACTAATAATTTCTCATCCACCACAGTGAACTCATTCTGACTTATTAAACACTTGAGGGAAAGGGAACAGTTTTGCCATAAGGGGGAGCCTTTGAGTTCCATAAAGGGGGGGGCAATATACATATATATACATATATATACTCATATATATGTATATATATGCATGTTTCAGTTCAAAACATAGAGACATAAGCAGGAAACAGTCAGCTTCTTACCTGAATGTTGGGACAAGATCAGGAAACTAAGTTTTGGGGTTTTTTTTTTAAAGTTGAAATTGGATAAATTCGTATTTTCCTGTCCTGTATATACAACGACAACAACAACAATATGATATCTAACAACCACCTGAATGCTTTAAGAAATTTCAGAGGCACTGAGGGGGAACCCAGCACTGTCCAATTTCTACAAGGTAGATGCCCTGGATGCTGTCTGATGTTCTGCTGAATCTGAGGCTTTGGAAAACAGATTTGATTAGCTGAAGTCTGAAGGTGACAGCCCTGTGGTCTCAGCAAAGACAGGACCCTCTCACTGTCGTATAACTTTAAGGAAATTTGGGCAGGGAGAAAGAGAAAGGCAAAAGAACCCGGGAAAGCAAGGGAGGGATGAAGGGAGAGGGAGAGAAAGGAAAGGATAGAAAAAGAAGGAAAGTGGGAGAAAGAGAAAGAAAGGGGGAAAGAAACTAGGAAAAGGAACCCGAAAACCAAGTTTCAATGCTGAATGTGTTATGGAAAAGGGAGAGGGGAACAGGAAAGGGTAAAGGGGACACTTCTCACTCGCGCCACGAGGCAAAATAAAAATAAGGGGCGGGGGTGGATGGGTGAAAGGGGAGCAAAGCAAAACAAAACCAGGAATGTGTGTTTTGAGCAGGAATGAGAAAGCGGGGAGGACCGTAAGGGGGTGTGTACAGAATGCCATTAAATTGTTACTTTAAGATTGTCTTCTTAAAAAAAAGAAAAAGAAGAGGGGGTGGAGAAGCTGGAGCGAAGGAAAGGAGAGAAAAGTAGAGGAAGGCTGGATGGCTCGGCCTCTCCAGACCGATTGATTGGTCATGATCCCCGCAGTTTGAACAGGGACTCATTCAATTGGGAAGGTGGAGTGCTGGCGAACAGATTAGCACACGCTTGTTTACTCATCTTCTAAGGGATTTTTCCCCCTCTTTCCTTTCATTTCGTGAAGAAGGAGGGAGGGGAGGGGGCGGGGGGAGAAGGGGGCTGTGGCTTGTGTTATAAAGGACGCAAAAAATAAATAAATGAGAGCATCTTGGGGGGAGGGAGGGAATTCAGCCGATCAGTGTGTTAGGGAGATTTTTTTTGAAGAGCAAGGAATATATAAAATAAAATGAAATAAAACAAGGAGGAAGGCTTCCAGCTGTTAGAGGGGGGGATAAGGCAGATAAAGGAGTGGGGAGAGAAATTAATTGCCAACCAGGAGGAGTTGGACTGTATTTTTGAAAGGTGGGGGGAGTGGAGCACACACCTTGAGGAGGAAAGCGAGAAAGAAAAGAAAAGAGCAAGTGGAAGGGGGGGCTAGCCCGAGAAGGGGCACAAAGTCAAGGCGCGAGCGGCTCCCAAAGCTGGCAGCTCCGGGCGGCGGTGCAGGGGCGCAGGGGGGGCGGGGGGGACCGTCGGACATGCGGCTCTGGAGTTGGGTGCTGCGCCTGGGGCTGCTGAGCGCCGCGCTGGGCTGCGGGCTGGCCGAGCGCCCCCGCCGGGCCCGGAGAGACCCTCGGGCCGTGCGCACCCCGCGCCCCGCCGCCGGCCCGGCCACCTGCGCCACCCGGGCGGCCCGCGGTCGCCGCGCCTCGCCGCCGCCGCCTCCGGGCGGTGCCTGGGAAGCCGTGCGCGTCCCCCGGCGGCGGCAGCAGCGGGCGGCGAGGGGCGCCGAGGAGCCGAGCCCGCCGAGCCGGGCGCTCTATTTCAGCGGCAGAGGGGAGCAGCTGCGCCTCCGGGCCGACCTGGAGCTGCCCCGCGACGCCTTCACACTGCAAGTGTGGCTGCGAGCCGAGGGGGGCCAGAGGTCTCCAGCGGTGATCACAG